CACAGCCCGACTGTGGCTGTTCATGTCCTCCCCCCACACACAGGCAGCTTGAGGGGGCACATCACCAACAAACAGCATTTATAAATGGTTGATTAACCTTCATTTCTACTGCCTAGTAATTATTTGAGGGAAATCTTTGATGTCAATGGCTCATACACGCATTAAATTTGTGGGAGATTTCCTGTGTTAATATGTGGCGAATATGTGATCTCAACTTTGTAAGGACTATCCATCTATAAACATCTAGTATTTAAATGTTAAAAAAAAAAAGAAAAAAGAAATGAACCCTTAGAATAGTTTTCAGGCCTTCTTGGGTTGCTTCAGAGAACGCTCATGGGCCTTTGAACTGCTCAGCCCTATGTCAGGTATTAGCCGGCTCCAGGCCATCTTTTTAACTTGGAGAAGGCTCCAGGGTGTTTTTTCTCCTTAATAGCTCTTACACTCACTTTATTCCTTGGTGTCATTTTGTAGTTTCCTAGTGTAGAGTGGGATAATGGTTCCCAAGTTCTCACCTCTTTGCTATTCTTAAAGATATCCTTTTCATGTAAAGTGTTTAACTTTGGGCGCCTGGGAGGCTCAGTTCGTTAAACTTGATTTCTACTCAGGTCACAATCTCAGGGTCTTGAGATGGAGCCCCAGGTCAGGCTCCATCTCAGTGGGGAGTCTGCTTGAGGATTCCTTCCCTCTGCCCCTTCCCCCTGTGTGTGTGTGTACACTCTCAACATAAATACATACAACTTAAAAAAATTTTTAACTTCTTATCACTATAGAAAAACGTGTAACAAACACAAGCAAGTTACAAAGCATGTGACTATTTCACTGTAGTAGTCCCTATAAAGCTTCCTGACTTCTCTCTGAGATGGGCTGCTTTAGTTGAGGGCAGTGGTGAGCCAGACACATTCCATGGAGAGTCAAGGCTATGAAGACCTTTCTTTTTTTTTTTTTAAAGATTTTACTTATTTGAGAGAGAGAGAGACAGAGTGAGCACACAGGCAGGGGGAATGGCAGAGGGAGAGGGAGAAGCATGCTCAAAGCTGATCAGGGAGCCGAATGGAGGGCTTGATCCTAGGACTCTGGTATCATGACCTGAGTGGAAGGCAGACGCTAAACCGACTCAGCCACCCAGGCACCTGTATGAAGACCTTCATATAGGCCTATTTTCTGAATGTAATAGTCAGCTAGTATACAGTCAATATAGAGCAATAAGAGGCTCTTTATTTATCTTTGGGACCCCCACCCTGAGAAACACTAGGTTTAAACTAGGCTTTCTTGTTCCTTGGGATTTATTACTTTGGGGGCATATCCTCCTTAGCTAAGTTTCTGCCCTGTCCACTATCAGGGTGTTTTCTCTCAGTGTCTAGTGTTCATCCTGCCGTTCGCTCTTTAAGCAAAGTTCATGGTTAAGTTTGTACCGGAGGAGGAGCAAGATGGTGGAGGAGTAGGAGACCTGGATTTCGTCTGGTCCCAGGAATTCAGCTGGATAGGGATCAAACCATTCTGAACACCTACAAACTCGACAGGAGATCGAAGAAAAGAATAGCAACAACTCTTTGAACAGAAAAGTGACCACTTCCTGGAAGGTGAGAAGCTCAGAGAGGTGAAGCAGTGGTCACACCTGCTTCTTCCATTGGACATGATCCTGGCACTTTGGTCCCAGACACAATTACCATGGAGTTCCATTAAACCCAAAATAATAAAACCCTGAACTGAAAAAAAAAAAAGTTTGTACCTAGTTGGAGGGACTTGTACCTAGTTGGAAGGACTTGTACAGCTTGTACCTAGTTGGGAGGACTTTACCTGTTAGAGATTACATTCCCTGTGTTTGACTCTCAACCCCACCTCCCTCCCTGGATCTCCTGTTCCCCGTCTAATGCCGTTATAGTCTTGGGATTTGTCACTTTGGTGGAGTTCTCTAAAACCTATGAGTTCTAGTAGGGCTGGGTTTAAGGACCTTTTGTAAAAGAAAGGACAGACCCTGAATGGAGATAGAGGTTCTGAACTTGTGGGCTGGTAGCTTTTGCCAAAGTTCAGGCAAGTGAGGTCTGTGGCCTAGCTAAAAATCTTAGGCAGGTTAACTACCTCTCTAAGCTTTAATGTGGTCTTTTTTTTTTTTTTTTTTTTTTTTAATGTGGTCATCTTTAACTTGAGAATAACAACATCTTTCTTTTGAGGTTATTGCAAAAAAAGAATGAAATAGCTGTTGCGAAGTGTTTCCTTCCACCATAAGAACTCAGTGGTTGCTCATGGCTGCAGTTGCTGCTGTTCCTATTTTATTGCCGTTGCTGCAAAAGAGCGGCATGGGTTCAGGGCCTGAGCTTTGAATCCTATGTCTACCACTATCCATTTGTATGACCTTGGACAAATTATTTAACTACTCTTTGCCTCAGTTTTTTTCACCTGTTAAGTGAGAACATTATTAATGTGGGAGTTGTGAAGATATAATGAGTTAAATCATATAAGGAGCTTAGAGCAGAATCTGGTACGAAGTAAGTGATTGTAGTAAGGCTGTTATTTAACTGAAGTACCCTCTTTGCCTCTGGTTTTGGCTTTGGATATGTATAGTGACCTAAAACCTTCCAGGCTGTCATTTTAACCGTTATTTGCCAAAACACCTAGGAGTCTGTGTTCTTAATTCTCCAGTGATGTCACTTTTCCGGTTTTGTTGTCATGCCAGCTTTAGAAGCCTGTTGTAACTGCTTCAGGGCAGATACCCAGTTGGTCCTTCTACTGGGTGCTGACACACCTACAGGTCAGACTTGAAAAGACATAGGAGCCAGTAAAGAAAGATCTCTAAAGAAGAATATATTTAATATATGTGTGTAAAGAAATTCTTTTATTTTATTATTTTTTAAAGATGGTATTTATTTATTTAACAGAGAGACAGCGAGAGAGGGAACACAAGCAGGGGGAGTGGGAGAAGAGAAGCAGGCTCCCCACTGAGCAGGGACCCTGATGTGGGGCTCAATCCCAGGACCCTAGGATCATGACCTATGAGCTAAAGGCAGACGCTTAACCGACTGAACCACCCAGGCACCCCAGAGAAATTACTTTAAAATTATCTTAGGCATCCAGAACTTGCACTTTCTGAACTCAAATGTAAAATCTGTAGAAAAAAATATTAGGTTACATTTACTTGACTTTGTTAAGTAAAGTTTAGTAATCCAGTATTGATATTAATAGTAGAGTTTCAGTAAGATCTGAAGAGATTGATTTTTTGTATGGTAACTAAATAAGGAGAAGTAGAAGAAGATTTGAAAAGGAGTTAATTCTTAATTTTTAATGCAGTTATTATTTTGCTATAGTAATTAATATGCCCAGTTAGTGGTGTAATAATGCTTGTAGTGAGGTTTGGCAGGATGGGTGCACTTCAACAAGAGAAGATGGGTGTTCTTCAAACCTTGGAGGCCCAGAATTTATTAGCAGTGTATCAGGGACTGGGGGGTCCAGGTAGGAGGAAGAAAGAGTGGGAATTTTCTGAACTGGACAGGTGAATTGCCAGGGTAGAAGATCCCCTGCTTACACATATCTCAACACCCACACATCTAGAGAGGTTTTGATTACAAAGTTTTGTATTTTGATTTTTTTCACATAAGAGTATAAAAGATACTCTATTTTTTTTATTATTTAAAAAAAGATTTAAAAGCATCTGTGCTTTTAGAAAGCAAACTTTTAGGGCAGAACCATAGTTTCCCTAGTGCCTAGCACTAACGAAAGTGATTAAATGCTCTGCAGAGTTAACCTTTACTGTATTCATTTTTAGTCTTGTTCTCAAACTTGATTTTATTAGTTTGGCTATGTGATTATACCCTATTAAGTGGATTAAAATCGGTATGTTTTATTTGCCCATGCTGCAGGAAGTTAAGTTCTTAAGGATTGGGGCGCCTCGGTGGCTCAGTCGTTAAGCATCTGCCTTGGGCTCAGGTCATGATCCCAGCGTCCTGGAATTGAGCCCCTGCTCCACGGGGAGCCTGTTTCTCCCTCTCCCGCTTACTCTGCTTATGTTCTCTCTCTCTCTCACTGTGTCCTGTGTCTCTCTGTCAAATAAATAAATACAATCTTAAAAAAAAAAGTTCTTAAGGATTATTTTCATTAAGCTGTGAAATACACTTTTTGACTCTAGGTGTATTTCCATGTAAAGAATTTTACTCCACTAGGTATAATTGAAGAGTTTTCTTCGCTGGACACTTTGGTGATTCATATACATTATTACTTTCCAGGCCTTTCTAGATTCCATGATTGTCATCACCTTTATCTTTTTTTTTTAATTGAAGTATAATATTTTTTTCCTCATATAATTTTCCCTTAAATTATAAAAGTACATTCCTGTATCATTTAAAATTTGGAATTGCAGATTTGGAAATACAGGAAAATTTTCTAAACTGTTTTAGCACCTCCCATTATGTCTGGCATAAATTTAGAAGTATAAACTTAAGAGTTTGTAACTTATTTTTCATCTTAGGTTGGATGCTTAAAACGATCTTGTTGCCATTAGCAGTATTTTCTAGTAACATTTTCAAATACTGTCACACTTATTTAATTGTGGGATTTTTTTGGGGGGGGAGGTCAGGCATTTAATGACTTTCCAGTCTCTTTTCACCTTTCCTCATTTTCTCACTTTCACTTTGGCATCTGCCTTTTTTTTTTTTTAAGGAAGAGGAGGAATAGGTTTTAGACATTTAGTTTAGAAAACTATATTTGAATAGTCTCCTATAAATCTTATTATATGTCCATAGTTTTAGTTAGTAATGACAAGAAGTCATTCAAAGAATTTTGTGACGATGGTGGCATTTCAGTTAACTGACATTTATGTCTGGTTTAAATTTTTGAAGAGCAATGTAAATGAAACCTGGAAGCTTTAGTCATGGTGGAAAGAAAGTTGTCAAAGAAGGTGATACAGTTTCAAATCACAACGATTTATAGAATCTCTTAAGTTTGTCATTGTCTAGTCTGTTAATGGTATAGGTTAAGACTAATCCCCTTTTCTCTTCTCAATTTTACAGAGTTAATTGAGAGTTGGAGGCAACCTTGCTGAAGATGAAGAATATACAGTATTAGAGGAGGAGATTTTTTTTCTTTTTTCTTTCTAAAGTCTTAGTTGCTTGGCGGCTTACATCTAGTCACCACCCTTCAGTTGAGTGTCTTTAGTTCATCAGAAATGATTTTTACAATCTCAAGAAAAACCATGTCACAGAAATTGAGTTTACTCTTGCTTATATTTGGACTCATTTGGGGATTGATGTTACTGCACTATACTTTTCAACAACCAAGACATCAAAGCAGTGTCAAGTTACGTGAACAAATACTAGACTTAAGCAAAAGATATGTTAAAGCTCTAGCAGACGAAAATAAGAACTCGGATGTTGAGAATGGCGCTTCCATGGCAGGATATGGTAAGACAACCATAGACTCGTCCTGGTTTTCTCCTCTTCAGTCTAGCCCCAATTCAAGATAGTTATGGAAGGAAATCCAACTCATTACTTAATGTGTAGGTCTTTCCAAAGCAAATTTTTCTTGTGAAAAATTTCAAATGTACTGAAAAACAGAAACAGTATGATAAATACCCATATATCTGTTGTCTAGATTTAACAATTGTTAAAAATTGTTAAAAAATTTGTTTTGTCTAATTTTTGAAGACCAGTTAAATTGTAGAAATTGTGACATTTCACTGCTAGATATTTCCATACGTATCTCTAAACAAATGACGTTTTTGTACACAATTATAATTGCATTATAATAATACCTAGTTCATATTTACATTTATCTGATTGTGCCAATGTATACCATCAATTATATAACATCTATCAATTCCTAAGAAGCAGCATTTGCCTATATCTCCAGTATTGTTTATTGCTATTCTCCCTTTCACATCATGGGTTCCTGCTGTGGTTTTGTTTGTTTTTGTTTTTTTACTTTTTTAGATTTTATTTATTTGAGAGAGAGAGAGAGAGAGAGAGAAAGCGTGCATGAGCGGGGGTGGGGTGGGGGGAGGGGCAAAGGGAGAGGGAGAAGCAGACTCCCCGCTAAGCAGGGATTCTGACACAGGACTTGATCCCAGGACCCTGAGCCGAAGGCAGGTGCTTAACCAACTGAGCCACCCACGCACCCCTTCCTGCTGTGTTTTAAGTTCTGTATGCATGCCATGTTCTCTCTTGCCTTCAAGACTTAAAGGACAGGTAGAACACTTCGGATATGAGTTTGTGGGCATTTTCTCTGTTTCAGTGTTTTTTGTTTTTTTTTAAGTTATACATGTATTTAAAGAATCAAAATGTGTTATGAGTCTGATAATAAAAAAGGGCAGTTCTTCCCACCTCCAACAGTCCTTAAATTTCCCATTCGTTAAAGCCAGCCATTTAAAATTATTTAATCTGATTTACTTGATGATTACCTCTATATCTCTAAATAATATGCTCTATGAGCTTCTTCTTGATTTTTCAATTATAGGAGTTATCTGTTAACTTCCCACTGTGCAGGGTGAAGGTTCAGCTTTCTTTTTTACCCAAAATTGCATCCCACCCACCCCAGGCTGATTTCACACACACACGTCCTTCTAGCCCTGCCGCTTTCCCAATATAATTTTGTTAGAACAAGATGCAGTGTTTGTGTTGTTATCACTGTGTTAAGGGTATTCATTACTGAGCCTTGTAGTACATTATTACTTTTCCTTTCATGTACAACTTTTATTTTCCCCTCTAGAATTAGTAAATACTGATTTTTGATTCTTTGCCTAGTTTTCTACCCTAACTCCCCACAGTTAAGTCTCCTCCCAGTATATTCAGACACATTAGCTATTTCATCACATTCTTTATCTTGAAATCTTTCCTAGAGCCTTCTGATCTCCTGTGGTTTGGACTATTTCTTCTCTAGGAGATGAATTATTTGGGATCTTACTCCACAGTCATCCTGGAACTCCCTTTACCTCTCTTCTTTTGGATCTCCCATCCCCTAGAATCCTGTAGCTTCCTCTTTATTGGTGACTCCCACATTTTAGGGGAACAGATCCTTGTAGTTTCCTCAGAAAGGTATGAGAGAGGTCAAAGTTTTGACTCCCGGCATATCTGAAAAGATCTTTTTATTCCCCCTACCCTCATGCTTAATTGAGAATTTGACTGAGTTTAGAATCCTAGTTTGTAAATAGTTTTCGTTAGATTTTTAAAGGCTTTTTTTCTTTTTTTCCCCCTCCTTGGCTTCCAGTGTTCTTTTTGAGAATCTAATGCTGTTCTGATTCTTTATTCTTTATATGTGACTTATTTTTTGGAAGTTTGTGAGATCTTTGTCCCATAGTACTGTTCTGAAGCTTTTCAAAATGATGTTTCTGGGTATGGATTTCGTTCATACATGTGCTGGGACCTCAGTGGGCACTTTATTTTCCCCCAAATTTTAAAACTATTTCTTTACTAGTACCTGTGATATTTAAGAGATGTAACATTCATGACTCAGGATGATGATCATGCTCTGATGTGCCCTCCTTAATGCCCCTCACCCAGTTACCCCATCCCCCCCACCTCCCCTCCAGCAACCCTCAGTTTGTTTCCTGTGATTTTTTTTTTTAAATATTTTATTTATTTATTTGACAGAGAGAGACACAGTGAGATAGGGAACACAAGCAGGGGGAGTGGGAGCGGGAGAAGCAGGCCTCCCGCTGAGCAGGGAGCCCGATGCAGGGCTCGATCCCAGGACCCTGGGATCATGACCTGAGCCGAAGGCAGATGCTTAACAACTGAGCCACCCAGGCACCCCTGTTTCCTGTGATTAAGAGTCTCTTACGGTTTGTCTCCCTCTCTGATTTTGTCTCGATTTATTTTTCCCTCCCTTCCGCTATGATCCTTTGTTTTCTTCCTTAAATTTCACATATGAGTGAGATCATATGAGAATTGTCTTTCTCTGACTTATTTTGCTTAGCATAATACCCTCTAGTTCCATCCACGTCATTGCAAATGGCAAGATTTCATTTTTTGATGGCTAATACTCCATTGTATATATATATACCACATCTTCTTTATCCATTCGTCTGTCGATGGACCTCTTGGCTCTTTCCCATAGTATGGCTATTGTGGACATTGCTGCTATAAACACTAGGGTGCATGTACCCCTTCAAATCACTACATTTGTATCTTTGGGGTAAATACCCAGTAATGCAATTGCTGGGTCGTACGGTAGCTCTATTTTCAACTTTTTGAGGAACCTCCATACTGTTTTCCAGAGTGGCTGTACCAGTTTGCATTCCCACCAACAGTGTAGGAGGGTTCCCCTTTCTCTGCATCCCTGCCAGCATCTGTCATTTCCTGACTTGTTAATTTTAGCCATTCTGACTGGTGTGAAGTGATATTTCATTGTGGTTTTGATTTGTATTTCCCTGATGCCTAGTAATGTTGAACATTTTTTCATGTGTCTGTTGGTCATTTGTATGTCTTTGGAGAAATGTCTGTTCAGTGTCTTCAGCCCATTTCTTGATTGGATTATTTGTTTTTTGGGTGTTGAATTTGATAAGTTCTTTATAGATTTTGGCTACTAGCCTTTTTTCTGATAAGACATTTGCAAATATCTTCTCTCATTCTGTCAGTCGTCTTGGTTTTGTCGACTGTTTCCTTTGCTCTGCAAAAGCTTTTTATCTTGAGAAAGTCCGAATAGTTGATTTTTGCTTTTGTTTCCCTTGCATTGGCCTTTGAAGATGTATCTTCAAAGCAATAAGAAGTTGCTGATCCTGAGGTCACAGAGGTTGCTGCCTGTGTTCTCTAGGATTTTGATGGATTCCTGTCTCACATTTAGGTCTTTAATCCTTTTTGGGTCTATTTTTGTGTGTGGTGTAAGAAAATGGTCCAGTTTCATTCAGCATGTGGCTGTCCAATTTTCCCAACACCATTTGTTGAAGAGACTGTCTTTTTTTCCATTGGATATTCTTTCCTGCTTTGTTGAAGGTTATTTGACCATAGAGTTGAAGGTCCATTTCTGGGTTCTCTGTTCTGTTCCGTTGGTCTATGTGTCTGTTTTTGTGCCAGTACCATACTGTATTGATGATTACAGCTTTTTCTTTTTTTTTTTTTAAGATTTTATTTATTTTATTGAGGGAGAGGGGAGAAAGAGAGAGCAAGTGAGCACACGCACAAGTTGTGGGGAGGGGCAAAGGGAGAGGGAGAAGCAGACTCCCCGCTAAGCGGGGACCCCAGCCCCGCCATGCAGGGCTTGATCCCAGGACTCTGGGATCAGGACATGAGCCAAAGGCAGATGCTTAACTGACTGAGCCACATAGGAGCCCCTGATTACAGCTTTGTAATATAGTTTGAAGTCCAGGTTTGTGATGCCACCAGCTTTGGTTTTCTTTTTCAACATTCCTTTGGCTATTCAGGGTCTTTTCTGGTTCCATACAAATTTTAGGATTATTTGTTTCATTTGTTTGAAAAAAGTTGATGGTATTTTGATAGGGATTGCATTGAATATATAGATTGCTCTAGGTAGCATAGACATTTTAACAATATTTGTTCTTCCAGTCTATGAGGATGGAACGTTTTCCTGTTTCTTTTTGCCTTCCTCAATTTCATGAGTGTTCTATAGTTTTCTGAGTACAGATCCTTTGCCTCTTATTCCTAGGTATGTTATAGTTTTGGGGGACAATTGTAAATGGGATCGACTCCTTAATTTCTCCTTCTTGTGTCACATTGTTAGTGTATAGAAATGCAACTGATTTTTGTCCATTGATTATGTATCCTGCCACTTTGCTGAATTTCTGTATGAGTTCTAGCAATTTTGGGGTGGTCTTTTGGGTTTTCCACATAGAGTATCATGTCATCTGCAAAGAGTGAGAGTTTGACTTCTTCTGTGCAGATTCAGATGCCTTTTATTCTTTTTGTTGTCTGATTGCTGGGGCTAGGACTTCTAGTACTTTGTTGAACAGCAGTGATGATAGTGAACATCGCTACTGTGTTCCGGACCTTAGGGGAAAAGTTCTTAGTTTTCCCCCATTGAGAATGGTATTTGCTGTGGGCTTTTCGTATATGGCTTTTATGATATTGAGGTATGTTCCCTCTATCCCTACACTGTGAAAAATTTTAATCAAGAAAGGATGCTGTACTTTGTCAGATGCTTTTTCTGCATCTATTGAGAGAATCATATGGTTCTTGTCCTTTTATTTATGTTGTGTATCACATTGATTGATTTCCAGATGTTGAACCAACCTTGCAGCCCAGAAATAAATTCCACTCAGTCATGATGAATAATCCTTTTAATGTACTGTTGGATCCTATTGGCTAGTATCTTGGTGAGAATTTTTGCATCCATGTTCATCAGGGATATTGGTCTGTAATTCTCCTTTTTGCTGGGGTCTTTGTGTGGTTTTAGGAGCAAGGTAATGCTGGCCTCATAAACAGAGTTTGGAAGTTTTCCTTCCATTTCTGTT